GGGGAGACTGGATGATTAGACGAAGATGGACAACCCCAAAACATGAAGGTTGCTAAGACAGCCCTCTCCTCAGACAAGTCACATCCTGCCAGGAAATAACCTGTCAGGAAATAAGCCGGACTATAAATTATTAGTGCTAGTGAAATACTAGTGAGTGATGCACACAAAGAAAACTCACCAACCTTGTCCACAAAACTCCTTGGCGATGCCACTCCTCAAAATCTATTCAAACAAACAAACAAAAAAAAGCATTGAAAACGTTAAAAGATGGAGGGCAAGAGAGGCTTTGCAACATTACTGATAACAAAATGATTTAAATGGAAGGGACCTTGGAGGCCCTTCAAATCCAACCGACTTGGACGAGGTGCGTTCGTGTAAAAGCAGGGCCACCTTTAGTCAAGATGTTTAAAAGGCAGCCAAAAATAACATTGGAGTTTCTGTTTGGTTTCGTGAACAGGGGGGCCCAGCCTGGCTTCTCAGTCCCTCGGCATTCAGGTGCTCTTCCTTGGAAGGAGGAATCACGGGGGGTATTTGAGCAGGTTAAGTGGCCATTAGAGGCACAGGAGCAGCCAGGCTGAGGAGAGGAGCTGGGAGGAGGCCCTTTGGAAGGAGGATCCGGGAGCCTCCACCTGTGCTGGGGCCCTCCAAAACAGAAGCCTGAGCTGAGCCAGAGCCTGCTTAACAAGCTCGGCCCTTCCAGGATCCCCCTTGTGTTGCCAGCCTTTGATCCAGAGCTGTGAAGCGAGATATGGCCCAAATCCAACCCTCCCTTCTCAGCCCTCCGCCCAGAATCGACCCCATCTCTCTCCAGGAGAGGCACAAGGGGCAAGGGAGAAGGTGCCCAAGCTGGGCCCCAGGCGAGGGAGGGAGCATGGCTGGCCTCGTGTGATGGCCGAACCTCCCATTCACTAACCAGGCTGGTTGGCACAACACCCGGGCTCAGCCCTGGGCAGGAATGGATGCCCAAAGGTGGAGGAAGGAGACCACTGAGCAAGGGATAACATTAAGGCGTGTCCCAAGATGGCGGCGGTCGGCTGAGCTCCGCGGAGGAGATGGAGAGGTCGCTGGTGTCAGGGGTCTTCGGGAGCCGCTTTAACTATCTCCGGCTCCAGTCCCAATGAGGGGAATGCCCGCCCTGCCTGCTGAGGGCTTTTTCATCCTCCGGAATATCAGGGCAGGGTGGGACGCGCTGTTTGAAGCCACTGCGGGAGATGGGGCGGCGGCCTGTTAAAAACGGCTGTTTCCGGCTTGTCAGCGCCGGGAGGTGTGGAAGCCGGAGCGTTCGGCGGCGGTCGGCGTTGCTATGCGGCGGCGGCAGCTTGGAGGTGCCCTTCATCCCCTCGCCCCTCACGGATCTCTGGGACGCTCTCCTGACGTTTTTCGGGGGACCTGGAGGCGCCATGGGGAGCCCAGGGTGCCGGTTGCGAGCCGGCCGCGGCAGTGGTGGCGGCGGTGGCGGAAGGCAATGGCAGCCACGGATCATCCGGCTGAGGAAAGAACTTGCAGCAGGTGGATGGGGGAATACGGACAGCCTTGCCTTGCCCTCAGGATTACCATCTGCTCTTTTTTGAGCCTTGACCCCTGTTATCCGGGGTTTGTTTGTCATCAGAGCTGAGACTGGGGATTTGGGGGAGTCTTGGGACGGGAGAGGCGGGAGGCTGACCAGGGCTCTATCGGTCGCCTCGGGTGGCTTCTCCTCCCCCCCTTCTTCCCCCAGGTATGTGTGGGTGTTGGCCTTTGATGGCCACCCACCCTTGGACTTGGACTGGGTTTTTTTGTCTGCTATCCCTACTTTCGCCCCAGGGAAGAACTTGTGCCTGTGGGATTATCATCACTGTCTTTAATAACTTTACAAATTGCTGGCTTCTTGTGCGACCCCGAACTGGAGGAGAACTGGGCAAAATGGTGTGCAGGTGCTGAGGGGGCTGTTTGTCATCCGCCAGATGAAAGGATGGACTATTGTGACTTTATTGTCGGTGTCATCTGCCCCAGTCACTGTAAGAGGGTGACTGGGATAATTATCCTCCAGACGTGGGGGGATGGCACTGGCCCCTTTCACTGTCATGAGAGGGCAGTGAACCAGCTCCTGATATGAAGATCTACTTTGACCCAGTATTATTGGACGATCTGGTGAAGCCCTGACCGGTTGACTCTCCATCTCTGTTTTGTGCGATGTTTACGGCTGCTGACCTGCTTGCGCTGCAAGACTCCCCCCTCTCGCAGGTTTGGCCCTCCTCACTATCGAGGGCCTACCTTGATGACGGATTCTGGAATCCCGAGAGGTGGCATGCGGCGAGGAGGGGGTTGTGGGTTTTTTGGGGGAAATTTTTAGATAAGGTTTTAAAGGTTTCTGGGAGGGGGGTGGGTTCGGTGGGTTTGGGGGAGAACCTGTCGGGGAGGAGGCCAGAGCCGGCTGAAGAGCACGGCACTAGAGATGCGGGAACCGGGGTCAAGGAGGGGGTTAGAGCTTGTGTTATGGATGGTCCTTACATCAGTACTGTGGGTGGGAGGGGCAGATATGGCGGGAGCAGGGGGCCACATCAGGTTGTGGGAGCGCGCGCCCGCTGGCTCCAAGCGGTGGCGCGCTCCGGCCTCCAATGCTCCCCTCATTCCCCAGGTTGCACAGACCCTCAGGCCCTGGGCCTTCGGCTGATGCTGTGCAACGCCCGGTCCGTGGTAAATAAAGCCCCCCTCATTTGTGATCTTGTTCAGGAGGGGGGAGCGGACCTGGCGGGTATTACGGAGACCTGGTTGGGCCAGGAGGGGGGGGTCCCCTCGTTGAGATGTGCCCACCCGGTTTCCGCGCATTCCATCAGCCGAGGACACAGGGGAGGGGCGGGGGGGTGGCGGTTGTCATTAGAGAAGGTCTTGGTCCGAGGGAGGTCACTGTTCCTCAGACGGCTGGTTGTGAGTCCCTCCTTGTGAAGTGGGGTCATGGGGTGCAGATGGGTGTGCTGGTTACGTACCTGGCTCCCTGCCACGTGACGGCAGCCCTGCCCGAGCTGCTCAACGTTATAGCCGCGGTGGCGGTTGACACCCCCAGGCTTATGGTCATGGGGGATTTTAACCTGCCATCCGTCAGTGAGGCGTCTGAGGTGGCTCAGGAGTTCATGGCTTCCATGACGGCCATGGACCTGACCCAGTTAGTTCATGGCCCTACTCACACGGGGGGAAACACGCTAGACCTGGTTTTTGTCTCTGGTCAGTGGTTGAGTGATCTTGAGATAGGGGATATAGTGATCAAGCCCTTGTCATGGTCAGATCACTCCCTCCTTCGCTTTGACCTTCGAACTGCCGCACCCCGCCGCAGGGAGGCGGAACCATTGAGGTGATACCGCCCCAGGTGCCTGATGGATCCTGATAGGTTCCAGACGGAGCTTGGGCCATTTCCTGAGGCTCTAGCACACGGCTTGACTGAGGAGCTGGTGGCCGCCTGGGATAGGGCAGCCGCTGGAGCTTTGGATCGGGTCGTGCCTTTGCGGCCTCTGACCCGGCGTCGATCTCGCCTGGCTCCTTGGTTCACCGAGGAGCTGAGGGAGACGAAGCGCCAGAAAAGACGCCTGGAGAGTGGTTGGAGGGCCAGCCATTCTGAATCTGACCGAACACTGGTAAGGTCTCATATTAAGACCTACCTGGTGGCGATAAAAGTGGCGAAGTATAACTATTTTGCCACTCTTATTGCATCATCAGATAATCGCCCGGCCGCCCTGTTTAGGGTGACCCGCTCCCTGCTCCACCAGGAAGCACGGGAGGACCCCTTGGAGGGTAGAGCCGAGGATTTTGTACAGTATCTGTATGACAAAATCGCTCAGATTCGGGAACATCTGGACTCTGACTGGGTAGATTCAGCGGGGAGGACAGAGGCAGGTCTTGTGAGTATTATCTGGGAAGAGTTTGATTCTGTGACGCCCGAAGACGTGGACAGGATACTGGGCAGACTGAGCGCAGCCACATGTTTACTGGATCCGTGTCCCTCCTGGTTGGTGCTGGCCTCTCGGGAGGTTACACGAGGCTGGCTCCAGGGGATTATAAATGCTTCCTTGAGTGAGGGTGTCTTCCCTGCCGCCTTGAAAGAGGCGGTGGTGAGGCCTCTCCTCAAGAAACCTTCCCTGGACCCGGCAGTGTTGGCAAATTATCGTCCAGTCTCCAACCTTCGCTTCGTTGCGAAGGTTGTTGAGAGTGTGGTAGCGCGACAGCTCCCCCAGTACCTGGATGAATCGTCGTATCTGGATCTGTTCCAGTCGGGCTTCAGGCCTGGGTACAGCACGGAAACGGCATTGGTCGCGTTGGTTGATGATCTCTGGAGGGCTCGGGACAGGGGCTGTTCCTCTGTCCTGGTCCTATTAGACCTCTCAGCGGCTTTTGATACCATCGACCATGGTATCATGCTGCACTGGCTAGAGGAGTTAGGGGTGGGGGGCACCGTCCTACGGTGGTTCTCCTCCTTTATCTCTGACCGGTCGCAGTCTGTGTTGACAGGGGGGCAGAGGTCGACCCCGAGGCCCCTTGTATGTGGGGTGCCATAAGGGTCGGTCCTCTCGCCCCTTCTGTTCAACATTTATGTGAAGCCGCTGGGTGAGATCATCCGTGGTTTCGGGGTGAAGTACCACCAGTACGCTGATGATACTCAGCTGTACATCTCCACCCCGGACCACCCCAATGATGCCCTTGAAGTGATGTCCTGGTGCCTGGAGGCCGTGCGGATCTGGATGGGGAGAAACAGACTCAGGCTCAACCTGGTCCAGAATGCGGCCGCGCGGGTGGTTATGGGAGCGACGTGGCGCTCCCATGTGACCCCCCCTCCTGAGTGAGCTGCACTGGCTCCCGGTGGTCTTCCGGGTGCGCTTCAAGGTTTTGGTTACCACCTTTAGAGCGCTCCATGGCATCGGACCGGGGTATCTACGAGACCGCCTTCTGCTACCAATAGCCTCTCACCGACCAGTACGCTCCCATAGAGAGGGGCTCCTCAGGGTGCCGTCGGCCAAACAGTGTCGACTGGCGGCCCCCAGGGGGAGAGCCTTCTCTGTGGGGGCACCTACCATCTGGAACGAGCTCCCCCCAGAGATACGGAAGATCCCGGACCTGCGCACGTTTCGCCGTGCTCTCAAAACTTTTCTATTTCAGCAAGCTGGCCTGGCCTAACTCCCATCTTTTAAATTTTTTAAATTTTTTAATTTGTGATTTTATAATTGGGTGTTTTAATCTGTGTTTCGGCCGAAATATTTAATAATTTTAAGGGATTTTTAAAATATTTGTATTATCTGTATTTTATCTTGGCTGTTCACCGCCCTGAGTCCTTCGGGAGTAGGGCGGTATAGAAATTTGATTAATAAATAAATAAATAAATAATAAGAGGATGTGGCTGAAGGATCCGGACTCCCCACTTGGAGGGCCCTGAAGAGGTGGAGGGCTGGAGTGCCCAAGGGGGACCAAAATGCCAGTTCTCCTTGAGAGAAAAGAGAGATGGAGGCATTCAACAAGGGGCATCTGCTGAAGCTCGGCTGCCAGGAATGTGGCCCACCCTCGCCCAATGCTGTGCATTGCCAGGCAGGTGCAGTTAAGGCTGCTTCTGCCCATCTAGACAGTGGAACGTGCACCCCCTTTGTAAGGTCAACTGGCAAGCCAAGGAAGGGAGGGAGGAAAGGAGGGAGGGTCTGGCTATGAAGCTTTTGGCCAAGGAAGCCCAAAAGGCAGCCACAGCATCAACCTCTCAGAACACTTTCGCATGGCAGTTTAGAATTGAGTGGTTCTTCCATGGTCTATGACCGTTGAAGAGTCTGTGAGCATCCTTGGTACCTCTCAGCAGGTAACACACGTTTTCCCAGGCTTGGGTTCAGGGTCGCCACAGATAAACCCCCCCCCAAGCTTGTTGTAGATTTTGGGGGTAAAAACAGGGAGTTTCCCCCTCTTCCAGAAGGCCCTGCGAGCTTCTAAAGAGGCAAGGGCAGAGCGGGAAGGGGATTCCCTGCCCCCATCAAACAGCCACAAAACAGCCTCTGGCCTGGCTGGGATCTGTGTGTTTTTCTCAAAGAGCAGCTGCCTCCCTCCCTCCCCGGGGAAGCCAAATGTGTCCGGCCTCCCAGCTCCTCTTCTTAAAGTCAGCCGAGACTCCGGGCTGCTCTTTACCTTCAGGACACAGAGATACTTGTGGTAGCTTGCCCCAGAGCGACTAATGCTGTTTTTGCATAGGATCCCCTGAGCAAAGGTAAAGGCCGCCTTGACGGTCCCCGCTGGTCAGGGACGTGCCAAAAATGGCAGCGGGGGTCGTGTCTTTAGACCCCAAAGGTGGCTCCTGAGGCGGATCCTGGAAGAGGAGGCCCTGGGGCAGGTTCTCCCTTGGAAAGAGGAGGTGCAGAGGAAAAGGAGGGTGTGGAGGGGAAAAAAAAGTTTCCAAAAGCTTTCTGAAGGTGGAGCAGGGCAGAGCCCTTAAATGCAGCTGGAGGGAACAGTCAGCACACCAAAGCTTGCCTTGTATCTTGATGGGAGCAGAGCGGAGCTCCCGGAGGCCGAAGTCAAGGTATTGCCCAGATCTTCTTCGGATCTGCCACATTCTCCCCCAAGATAGGGGAAGGCTGATCTGTGGAACTGCAGCTCCCATCCTCCCCAGCCAGCGCGGCTTGGGATGGGTCGGAGAGCCGGATGTTGAGGAAGGCTGCTCTCAGGCTCTCGAGGGTAGGTGCCAGTCCTCGAGTGGGCAGAGCCTTTTCCTTTGTAGGGAAGTGAATCCACCGGGCAAATTTTTTGCCTTCGCTGGAGATGGGTCTCTCGGGAAGGAAGGCTGGGCTGCTATCCCTCTCCCTTCCCTCTCAGATCAGCGTCCGGGCTTCGGTCTGGGAATACAATCCGCTTCCGACTAACCCCCGGCTCTTTCTTCCCATCAAGGATGACACTGTCTCAAGGGAAGGCAATTCTCTTATGGATATTCTTGTTCGCCCTTTTATCGCTGGCCATTTTCACCTACCTGGACAGGTAAGAAAGTCAGGACACCATGAAATGCCAACTGAGTTTACCGTTCTTGCAAGGAAGGTGCTCCGCCAACTTCTTTTGCAACAATTCCGGCAAAGGCCAACCCAGCCCGGCTGTGCCTTATTTCCATCCCCCTTTTAAGGCAGACTCATCCGGGAAGATCCCGTTCCCCGTATTTTGAGCACAACAAGGAAGAGAATCAAGAATTCCCATAATTGTTAGCAAATAAATATGGGGCAATCAAGCACCTTGAACAGCTAACACTTCACTAATGTGAGACAATGAACCCTACAGATGAAGAAGCTGGGAGGGATCAGGAGAAACTCATGCCGGGCATCGAACGTGGCAGAGACCAGGCACAGGGCGGTTTTTGTGGAGAGAAGCACAAGGTGGAAGTGCAGCCCCAACGTCTTGACTCAGAAACTCAGCATGTTGCACATCAGCACAGCCTTCTGGGGTGATCAAACCTGTGTTTGGCACGCAGCATTTCAACAGCCGAGATCTGCTCCTGAGGAAGGCTTACATAAGGCTGCACACACCCGCCTGGTTTCAATGTGAAATCTCACACACTCCCGGGAACACTTGATGGTGCAATCTATTCCCTCTGATGTGTGTCCATATTGGAATGGAGGGACAATGAGAAGTTCTCCTCTGCCAAATTTAAAGGTGGTTGGATTGATTGCCGCTTTCCGGTTATCCAACTCCTTAAACCAAAGACCGCCCCCAGGAAAAAAAAGAGTAGGAGAGAAGGTTAGAAAGGGGGGAAGAAGGGAGGAGTGGGGAAAAGGAAGGGGAAGGAGGGGAGGAAAGAAGAAAGTAGAAAAGGATAGAAGAAAGGAGGGAAGGGAAAGAGAGAAGGAGAAGGAGGATTGTTGTAAAATAAGGGAGAAGAAATGGTAGAAGAGCAACCCCGAATATATTTCAATTTTTTTCAGGATGGAGAATGAATTAATATGAAAGTGGAGAGTATATGTATGATCAACAATGGATAAGAGACTGTACAATATGTTTATGAGAAATAAAATAATTTTTTTTTCAAAGACCGCCCCCAGATCAGCTGCAGGGGTTGCAGACACAACGGGCCCGTCCAGCAAGGAGATGGTCGGAGGAAGGGAAGGGGAACGGGTGTGTGTGTGTGTGTGGCTGTGGAAACAGAGGGGTTGCATAGCAACCTCAGAGCTGCTTTCTCTCCAGAGGAGCCGTTTGTCTCCTCATGCTTGTCCAGAGATCATCCAGATGTTTTGGACGAGAGTTCCCGGGCAGTTCTCAGCCAAGCACCACGTCAGGTTGGAGTTCTGGAGGCTCCAGGCCATCCGCGCATTTGTAGGGCATCGCTGAAGGTTTCCAGAGCGAGAGCTTCCCAGCCCCACTTGGGCATGGAGACGGTTGGGTTGTGAAGTTTCTGAAAGATGCCCTAATTAATTAATTCATGAGCCTCGAGCCAAGTTTCAAAAGAAATCCAGTCATCTATTAGGAGCACCGTTCCTGGTGCTGGCCTGGAAAGCGTTGCAAGTGGCCACGGGTGCTTCTGCAGAGGGCACGTCTTCTGCCCACGAACAGGCGCTGTGCCAGCCAAGTAGGGAAAAGTCATTGTTGGCTGGTGTTTACCTGGTATTTACAAGCAGATGACCTTGAGACAGTCAGAAGGCCTGTTTGTTCTCCTTTCAACAGGGACGAGAAAGGAACCCGGATGGACAGCACCGGCTCCCAGTAAGTCCCCTGCTGCCGTTGCTCTTGCTGGCTCCGGTCTCTTTGTGATGCTGCCTGTCGCCCAAAAGGAGTCACGCCTCTCCTGACGATGCTTGCCAGGCAGAATAAGGACATGGCATCTTACCGCCCCAGGCTTTAAGGATCCAGGTGCTACCGATTCAGCCTCACGTGGCCTTTCTTGCAACTGCCCTCTGGTGCCAATGGGCATTCAGCTCATCTCCCCTTTCCTTGTTGCGAAGGGGCAGCGGGGTCTCAATTGGGCTGCTGCATTTTGCCCTGGCACCCTGGACACCATGTCTCATTGGATGCTCACAGAGCGCTTTCAAAACAGCTGCTGATCTTTTTTTGCTGCTGCTGCTGCTGCGTAACCCTCCTCCCGCTGGCATGTGGGCTGTGGCTCCTTCCACCAGGCATTGCCACAGCGAGTAACTGGCAGCCCCAATTCTCCTTTCCTGGGCATCCTCCTTACTTAAAGAGTGAAAATGGAGGTGGCAGACGGCCAGCTGCCTCTTATTTGCCTCTGGTATACCCACTGACCCCTCTTCCACTCCCAGAGGGACTGGGAACTTTTGCACGCAGCTGACAATCACTGTGCAGTTTTGCACAACAGGAAAGAAAACCACTGAGACACCTTTCTCAATGCAGGGCTTTCAAGCTTGCAAAACGGGTGCTGTGGGGAGCGGCAGCTGCCGGGACTGATGAATGACTGATGCGATAGCATAAGCTAGATGCCGGCGAGACTCCCTGCCCCCCCCCCCCCGGTGATGCCAGGAAGCCCCCTGTTCTTAGGGGAGGAGCTTGTGTAGAGGGTACACCTTCACTTCTTCCTGCAGCGTGACAGCAGAGTGCTGCTCCCCCCTCTCTCTGCTGAGCAGCAGCCTGGGGGTGTGGGTGGAATCAGTCCCTTGTCCTGCCAAACCCCCAGGCTTGCTGAAGTCCACTCTCCCCCCCCCCCCCAAAAGGGCCTAACTCTTGTCCAGCGGAGGAGTCAAACAGACCCCCAGGTAGCCATGCTGGATTCCAGCCTCCCCTGTAGCCACATTGCAACGTGCCCAAATAGTTTCCTTGGCACCAAATTATTTCCTTGGCGTGATGAAGAATAAGAAATCTAGACGTAAGGGATTTGAGCCAAAAGAGAGTGTAAAAGCATTCCTTTGACTGGAAAGAAAGTCAACAGACCAGAAAGGAAAACAATGAATTCAAGAAGAGAGGTGCCTTTGTTTTTTTGTTTTTTTAAAGAAAGAAACTTGGCTGCCTGATTGACAGCCGATGGTGATAGGATCAGTTTGTATCTTTTTCATTCCGTTTTTCTAGAAAGGTGACACACCCAGCGGGTCCGTGTGACAGCCAACCTTCGCCACAAGATGGGTATGTGATTGCAGAGGTTCTCAATCATCCGCGTCACGGTTGTCCCAAAGGTGCTTTTCCAAAAGACAGTTGGAGAACTGAAGAAGCTTCTTGGATGAGAAGCGAAACATTTTCAAGGAAAGGGAGGGGGGGGGAAACAAGAAAGTCCAGTTGCCTTTTGGAAAAGCACCACTGCCAAACCGCGTTCCGATTCCCTTCTCCTTTATTACAGAGATGAGCATTCAACCAAAGAACCAAGAGAGATACCGCTGAGCAGCTGGTTTCACCCAAGGTAAGAAGTCTATTTGGACTTGAAAGGGAGACGGGGCGGCCTTCACTGGGCTTCCCCTTTTCCTGTCACAGTCAAACGTTTCTAAGAGACGGGGGCTTTTTAACCCACCGTGAGAAACTTCTTGGAGGAGACTTTCAGAGGCTTAGAATCTCCCAAGGAGCGAAGGTGCAGCTGCGGAGCATCTCCCCAGCCAGCACAAGACCCAAGTGGAGCTTCTCGCACCTGCAAAACCAGAGCAGGGGAGGAGACATTTTGCCCGTCTCCTGGGCAAAACCCCGCCAGGTTCCTTCCACCTGAAGTGTCAGGTACCAGGGTGGCGGCTCAGCTGGAAGAGACGACCAGCACTTGGCTGAAAGGCTGACTCCGCTTGGAAGCCGCTCCGCTCAGCCTCACCTGGAAGCCCAGCTGGCTGAAAATAGCCTGCTCAAATTAAATGCAGGAAAAGGAAGCTGGGGAAAGGCTCCTGCTTTGTTTTGCTTTAAATTAAATCCCGAGGAGGAGTAGGTTTCCCAAACATCTGGCTCCAATCAGCATGCTGCAAGGCCAAACGTTTCCCGCTTCCGGCCCCTCCCTGGTAAACATTTTAACATGAGGTTGGAGAGCTGCAGCCAAGGCCCCCCTTCTTTCAGCCTGGGATTTCTCACCAGAGGCTCCCTGGCCTCATATCTCCAGTAGGGAAAAACGGGGGATCCCTGCTGGCCCAGCTGCCCCCCCCCCACTCTCTGGACGGCTGCTTTGTGGTGGGTGGAGGGGCTGAGTGAGAGTCAGCTCATCCCAAGATGACCAGGGAGTGACCCTTATCAGTGTTCTTTCTGCCCCGGGCAGCGCACGGACAGAGGTGCCCACCCTGAGCCCGTGGTCAGCCCCTATCGTGTGGGATGGGACGTTTGAAAGCGCCACCCTCAACCATCACTACAAGCGGCAGCAGGTCACCGTTGGACTGACCGTTTTCGCCATTGGGAAGTAAGTGTCCTCGTCCAGCCTGATCCGGCTGGTTTTGCTGAGGAAGGTCTTTTGCTGAGAATGAGACGTCCGGAGAGGCCCGTCCAAGGACTCCGGTCGTTCTGGTGGGGCTCAGATGGCCTGAGGGCAGGGTTGTGGTGGCTAGAACCTGCAGCAACTGGAGAGGCCCCCTCATCCCTGCCGTGTTTGCTTTCCCCATCCAGGTACCTGGACAAATTCCTGAAGGGCTTCTTGATTTCCGCAAACACCTTCTTCATGACGGGCCACAAGGTCATCTTCTACATCATGATCGATGACCTCTCCAAAGTGCCCGAGGTCAAGCTGGGCCCCCAGCGGACGCTGAAGCTCTTCCGGGTCAAGCAGGAGGACCGCTGGCAAGACGTCAGCATGATGCGGATGAAGACCATCGGGGACCTGATCGAAGAGTACATCCGCTTCGAGGTGGACTTTCTCTTCTGCATGGACGTCGACCAGATCTTCCAAAGCCACTATGGGGTGGAGACCCTTGACACGTCCGTGGCCCAGCTCCACGCCTGGTTCTACAACGCAGACAGGAGCGCCTTCACCTACGAGAGGCGCCCCGAGTCGGCCGCGCACATCTCGTATGAAGAGGGGGACTACTACTACCATGGAGCGGTCTTTGGGGGCGCCCCGCTGCAGGTGCTGAACCTCACCCGGCAGTGCTACCAAGGCATTCTGCGGGACAAGGAGCAGAAGGTGGAGGCCATCTGGCACGACGAGAGCCACCTCAACAAGTACTTCCTGCTCAACAAACCCGCCAAGTTGCTCTCCCCCGAGTACTGCTGGGACTACAAGATCGGCTCCCAGTCCCAAATCCATAACGTAAAGTTGTCCTGGATGCCTAAAGAATACCAAGAGGTCAGAAACAACTTTTGACCTGCCCCAACCCCTTGCACAGACCAGAGCTGGCCTGCAGCCAAGGACACGTGAAGAGCACGGCTGAGCCTCACTCCTTCACCCCCTGCAGAAGAGGGTGGAGCCGGGGACCCAGGTGGCAACAGTGAGGAAGCGTCCAGCTGTCTTCTGCCACCTTCTACGGCCCCTCCTGCCCACTTCGTTTCTCTCAACATCGGGCAGCAGACTGTTCCGGGCAGTCTCTGTGAGCCCCTCCCTATTTTTCTGCATCATCCATGACAACTTGTGGTGTGAGGTCGTGTGGCTCAGCTCCCCTTCTTTTGAGAGACTCTTGGCTCAAAGACAGAATCGGAACTGGGCTTCCTCAACATTTAAACCTTTATGCCTTTCAACCCCAGAACAAGTGAATGTAGACCAAACAGCTGGGGCATTCCCCATCCTTTCTTTTAGATTTTGTACAGTTTCTCACTTTTCGGTGCTTGGAACTTTTCTCTGCTCCTCCCTCAAGTGGCCCTTCTCCCGTTGCAAGACTCTTCTCAGGCACGCAGAGACCTCCCTGGTGATCCCAAGATAGGGCGGCAGGGCAGGGCAGGGCAGGATTTCACTCCCACACGGGAGGGGAAGTTGGGGATGGAAAGCAAGAGTTCAGTGAGGACGCACCCCCACACACAGACATCAAGAATCCAGGAAGTGGCAAATCTTTACACAGCAGGCAGGGTCTGCAGAGGAAGCCCCCAGACCAGCGGCCTCCAACCTTGGCAACTTTAAGACTTGTGGACTTCAACTCCCAGAGTTCCTCAGCCAGCTTTGCTGGTTGAAGTCCCCAAGTCTTAAAGTTGCCAAGGTTGGAGACCCCAGACCCTCTTTTCAGGTCCTTCGGCTATCAGATCTCCTGGGGGAACCTCCTCAAACGGGCTTCAGGGAGCCACGCTGAGCCAATGGGTCAGGCTCTCCCTGCTTCCTCCTCCCCAAAGCTTCGTTTTCCAAAATGGGGATTATTTTTTCCTCCCCTGGGGATTCAAATATGCACATCGAAGCACAACAGGTGCTTATTTGTCTCTCTCCTCCATCCCAATAACAACCAAAGTTGGCAGCCTGGACCAAATTGAACAAAAGCCGCTGCTTTTATTCCCGTGCCGGTACAGAGGACAGGACGGAGGGGCGCTTTGTCCCTCTTGCACCTGCCAAGGTGCTTGATTCACCTTTGTTTGTTGAAACACCTGCCTGCCGCCTCACTTTCTGAGCTCATTTGCACAAGCCATGTTCTGCTGTGTGTGTACTTGACGGTGCATTCCCCTGGATTGATGGGATCTAAAATTAGACGCCGGTCCTCCTTCCATTCTTTCCCTTTTGTAGTTTAAAGTCCGGCTCCTTCTCGTCCTTGTGGGCACAAAGGTTTGGGACCGGCCTGCACAGGGACGCTGCTTGGGGCCCTGTTTGAGCTAAAGAGGGAACTCAAACCCTGGGCCTGCCCCACCGACCTCTACATGCACCCTGATGGAGCCTCCTTGAGTATTCAGGGATCCGGTTTCAAAACCTTCTGTATCTCGAAGGTCCCGTCAAGAAAGTGGCCGGCACAAGGGCCCTCCGCCTTGTTTTACCACACACAAATACACCTGCCATCCACCGGGAGATTTATGAACTGGCCTTGTGCAGGTGATAGGCCTAGAAAGCTGGCTTCCCTAACTACCTTTAGAAATCGTTACCTTTGCCAATTTATTGCCTTGTAAATGACAAAACAATAAATTCAAATCTTATTTTGGCAAGTCTTTTGAAGTGGGGAGGATGGTGGCTGGAATTTCACAGGTCTCACCCTCAGAGGAGGTGGAAAACGCCGAAGCGGTTTTGAATTTCAACGAGGGGAGGAGGTGAGCCAAGGGTGAAGTCCAGCAGGTTCTGGAGAACTGGTAGCGAAAATTTTGAGCAGTTCAGAGAACCGGCAAATATCACCTCTGGCTGGCCCCAGAGTGGGGTGGGAATGGGGATTTTGCAGTAACCTTTCCCCTGCCACGCCCACCAAGCCACACCCACTGAACTGGTAGCAAAAAAATTTGAATTTCACCCCTGAAGTGAGCCAAAGCTGGCTTCACTCAGTCTCAGGGAGGACTCTCAGGCACCGGTGCGGGGAGGCTCACATGCAGGAAGGAAAGCAGTTCCTGGCAGAAATGCTTCTGTGTCACCATTTTGCAAACTTCCTGAGCTCTGAAAGAGGGTCCTGCAACTGACCAGATGCGGATCCATTAATCCGGGGGGTAACTCTGGGCCTGAGAGGTGGGCTCCGGGACCACCTCCGCTTTTCCTTTTTGCTCAAGGGCCAGACGTCATCCAGAGTTGACTCCGTCCCCTCGAAGGAGCATCCGGTGCAAGCCTTCAGCAGGAGCCAGTTGCAAAACAGTCTCCAACCTTGGCAAGAGGTGAAAGACTTGTGGACTTCAACCCCCAGAATTCCTCAGCCAGCAAAGCTGTCCACAAGTCTTAAAGTTGCCAAGGTTGGAGACCCCTGCTCTAGAATCCAATCCAAGCAAGCCCTTTCTATGGCTTGGATTAAAATACCAGCTGGAGAGCGGAGGTTAGGAAGAGGAGGAGGAGGAGGAGGAAGCAGCCTCCTTGGCCTGGTGCTTCTAGAGGACGGCCAGTCTGCATCCACTGACCCAGAGGAGGGGAGCTGAAGGTGCCTGGAGAATGACCAACTGCCGACATCCAGCAGAGGGCTTTGCCAAATGCAGCATAGCTGGTGAAAGGGCTCCATCTTGTGGCGGGTGCAGGTCTATGCAGGTCTACCACTACACGGGGAGCGGGGGCACCCAGAGACACTTACACACACATACACAAAGACAGAGAGTCAAGAGTTCAAGAGGCTGTCCCTGTTTTAAGGAGTTTTTGGGAATAGCTCACAAGCTATTTATTGATTTACAAAGACAGGAGAGCCGTTTTCAACCTTGGCCTGGAGAGGACGCCGCTCTGTCCTCGGCTTCTGAAAGCCAGCCACCTGCCCCAGTGCCTTTCGGAGGGCTATTATGGGATGCCCGTGGCCTTGGGGGTTCACAAGGATGGACTTGTGTGCCTGTGGTTTGGAATGGGTTCGGGGGTCTCTCTATGCCTGAGGGATGTGCTACCCGAGCCTCTTTCCACCTGTGTGTCTTTCTGGGGACCCCCCAACTATCTGCTGCCCATGGCAGAACCGCAATGACTCAGCCCAGTTGGGAACAGGATCCAAGAGAAGGGAAGTGGGGAGAGGCCTTCTCATGGACCAAAGGGAACCTGGGTTGGCTTCTGTTCTGGGACCGGGGGCTGCCAAATGAGTGGGGCGATCATGAGGGGAGGCTGGTGCCTGGCACAGGGGAGCCAAGCCGAGCAGGGCAGCTCCCCTGTCTGCTCAGGATCTGCCTTCCCAGTCATTGAATTAGCCCAGAAAACTTGGCTGGAAGACAGCGCCCCCAAGTGGCTGAGATGCCCAGAGAAACCCCTGCCCCGACTTCTGCAGGGATCCCCCCTCCTCAGATGCACAGAGAGCCAGGCTCAGCTCCCTCTCCGGGCCTGAAACGCCCTTTTCAGGAAGAGGATGGTTTGTTTGGCAGTAGCTCCACAGCACTGGGCAGGGTCTGGAGGACGAGACCCCAGTCTGAAGACTGGGGGCAACTCGGCCCCCTGATGGAGTTGCCTGATGGCTGTGGCAGGCATGCAGCTCGGCTCACTGGCCAGAGCCATCTAAATGCAGGGAGTGTGTGTTGGGGGGGGGGGGATTTGTTTTCTTGCAACAATATTGCTTGGTCCAGAAGAAAATCTGGGCACCTGGAGAAGAGATGGCAGGGGTGGGGAGGGAGGGGGCTGCGTCTTCCACTCTCCAAGCCTGTGAATCTGCCCCAGGGGGCCCGATCCCCTCCTCCTCCCCCTCCTCCTCCCGCAGAACCTTCTCTTTTGAGATGTAAAGGTAGGTTTCAGTCCACAACCCACCCGGTTGGGTCAACCTGGGGGCTGCTTCTCCGTCAGGAACTCCAGCCTTTCCGCCGTGTCCTCCAGTTCCTCCAGGATCTCGGAGAAGGAGGGGCGCTTGAAGGCTTCCATCTGGGGAGGGGGGAATGGGAGAGGAGAAAAGATGTGCCAAAGGGCAGCTCGCACCCCCAAGCCCTGCCAGTCACCCAACTTTCAGAAATGGCAAACTCCCTTGCCATCAGGGATGTAGAAATGCCCTTGCCCCCATGAGCTGCCCCTTGGTCGCTCCGTGCCCCAGGTGGCTTCGCCAAGCTTAGGGTGCCTCTTCCTGGATCTACAACTCTGAGGTAGATGGCCCTGAACACACCCTCAGCTGCTGTCTCTGCAACCTGCAAATGCTCCAGAGCTGCTTTGGCTCAAGGGGCCCCGGCCCCTCATTCTGTGTCGCAAAACAAAAGAGCCTCTTTTGAAGGAAATCCTCACCCTGCAACAGCTGGCCGCCAAATCCAAGACTTGCTTGGGGCACTCCTGGATCATGCTGTGGAAGGCAGCCACGTCCAGCCCGTAGTCCTGGAGGGAGAGAAGGGGGGTTTCAAGAGGGCTTCCGTCATTTTGTAGACCCCGGGCTCCCTCTTGCCCCCCTCCCCAATCGGCTTCCCCAAATTGCCTTCCCAGAGATGAAGGAGGCAGGTGAAAAAGCTTTCCCCAACCAAAAGGCCACTCAGAGCAGGAAGGGCCCTCCTGACCCATTTCGGGGAGGAAGGGGTCCTGGGAGTCACCTGAGTCCGTGGCAGAACCTCGGGGTCAGCGGGAATCCTGCCCAGAATTTCACAGAGAACGATGCCGAAGGAGAAGACGTCCACCTGCCAAAGGGAGGCCAGCTCAGCCGCAGGGAACTCGCCAGCCCTCCAACCGCCCTGCTCTTCATCTCCCCGGGGCATCCCTGGGGGGAGGGAGGGAGGGAGGGAGGCAGGCAGGCACCTTCTGGTCGTAAGGTTCTCCCCGCAGCATTTCGGGAGCCATCCAGAAGGCTGAGCCCACCAGCGAGAGCTTCCTCTCCGGACTCTTGGCCGAGAGCTCCGCCACTTCCTTGGCCAGCCCGAAGTCGGTCACCACCGCCTCCCGTCCTCGCTGGGTCACTCGGATGAGGCAGTTCTGAAAAACAGACGGACGGCCCCTTCAATCTCCTTCCAAACTCACTGGAGTTCTGAAGAGAGGGGGGGGGGCTGTGACCGGACAGAGCAGGAAACACCTCTTGGGACTGGCCTGACACAGGCTCACAGAGGCCTGTTCCCTCTTGGATGGACGCTGGTCTCGGACCAACTGCCCAGCCCCAAACAAGGAAAAACAACGACGACCTTCAATTTTAGGAAACCTCACTAGGATAGAAGCCAAAGTGCTCCTCCTTTCCTGGGACTCTGCAGACTGCTCCTGAACAGGGAGGCTCCTTTGGCCAAAACAAACTAAGACACAGGAAGAAGGGCTCTCCTTCTTCCGGGGTGTCTTCTACTCACTTCCCCGGACGGCCCTTCCCACCCTCCCCTTTTGCAGTACTGCTGCTCCCAAGTCTTTCAGAAAGGAGGTTGAACTGAAAGCCCACCTTGGAGTTGAGGTCGCGGTGGTAGATGTTCTTGGAGTGGAGGTAGACCATCCCGCGGGTGATGTCCGAGGCCAAGCCCACTTTCTCCTTCCAGCTGAGGGAGGTGTCTTTGCAGGCCAACAGCTCTTCCAGGCACCCGCCGTTCACGTACTGAGGGCAGCCCAGAAGGGAAGAGGGGCCTTTGAGTCGCTTCCCACGGAGGCTGGGATGGAGGCCATTCTGCCTTCCCAGCCCCGCAGGCCCATCAGCCAGGATCCCTGCCATCTTCAACCGGCTGAGGAGGATGGGAGCTGTAGCTCAACCCGTCTGGCAAACGTCCCTTTGGGGAAGGCCAGGCTGAACTACATGCTCCCCCATGCTGAAGACAAAGAAAGGAACCTTGCAGGACAAATTAGGCTCTTCTCCCTTGAGCTTCTATATTTCTAAGTGCAGGATTTTCCACATTGGGAATTCCCTTGTGTGTTTGTTTTTAACAGAGATGCACACTGTTGTTGTTTTTTTTACATCATCAGCAATCTCAGTCCTAAAGCATAAAGACATATGGTCCATATGGAGCTAGATCAGCCCAACTCCCCACTTTTGGGGGCACGAGGCCAATTGCAAGCCAGATGGACAGATGCCAGTTATTTATCAAATGAGGGGGTTGCTGCGATTGTGGGATTCTCAGAAGCTCACAAGAATGCCGCAAAACAACGCAAGATGAGAATAAAAGAGATAGAAGTCTAAAGGCAGTATGACATGCCAGGCCGCAGAAGCCCTCCGGAGAAGCTCAGCTTCGGCTTTCCCAGAAGGCGGACAAATTTCCCACGGGAAGACGTTCCCGAGAGCCGATCCCACCACTGAAAATCCCTGCTTCCTGCCCGGCACCAAGGTCAAGGGCCCCTTCCTTTAAAAGGCAGCCTAGCCTGGGTGACTGAGGGCTGCTGTTTGGGCAGGGGAAGATCCCCCCCTCTTACCTCCAGAATGGGGTACAGCTTGTCATCCTTCACGCAGATCCCGAGGTACCTTACACAAAAGGAGACATTGGGTGGGAGGTAGGAGGGCCAAGGAAGCTGAAAGGACCTACTGCTACGTGCCTCCCGCCCCCCAGAGGATTTACTCAAGAGACCTACCTGACGATGTTGGGGTGGGAGAGCTTCTGCAGCAAGCTGATCTCGCGCACAATCCCCTCCTGGTCAGCATCGTTCTTGTAAATCTTCACCACCATGGCCTTTGCCCCAGGAC